GGTATTTGGGGGATCCAGCAAGTTTGGACTTAGACAAGACATTTAATCAATCGTATAATAAAGACTTAATACCTCGAACTACCAACCTTGTTTTTAGAGTTTTAATTTATACTTAATCAAACAAGTTCTTTGTGACATTTTAAATGGTTTATTAATATACCTTTAGTTAGACATAGTTAAAGATTAAGTCATAAATTAGCATAGAGTAAGATAAGACATAAATCGACATAAATTAAATTTAAATAATAACGTTCACACGACAAAAAATATTCTGGTACAATAAGCTTTTATACGTGGTAGAGCCATGCTACAGTTATATTGGAAGTATAGTTGTAGCACGAATGGGTCGGCTCGACCGGGGAAAGACCACGCTCTCACAGAATACCAGCTTAAAATAGTAGCTTAATGCTGCTGTGTTTTTTTTTATGGTGAGTGTAGAGAACCGGAGACCCTTTTTACTGGAAAAGAGGCATTCCATCTTAGTCCTCACGGGCGACAACGCATCTGCATTTTGATTCGTAGTCGAGGATAGATGTAGATGTCTATGGGCCACAGCAAACACTTACCAATTAGGTGGAGTATGTGCTCGCTGGTCCTATAAAAAAAAGCATCATAAGTTTAAAGTTTAAACTTATGATGCTTGTGTTTAAACTTTAAACATTGATTTGGAAATAGCTTCATAAAAAAGTTAAAGTATTAATTGTGTCTTCTGATAAACGGCTTCTGATATTGGATACAAGGTAGCCAGCGGTTAAAACAGCTCGGTGAGTTTCCACGCTGGTTGGCACAATAATCATTAGCGCATTGTAAGTGAATTGAAGGTATGTGCCTTCTAATCCACCGAATTCCTAGTAATTCATTTCCTTCTTTATCAAAAACACAAGGCTGCCCATCGTATTACCAGATCTAGGTTGTTGAGCTATTGATTTAGAACTCTTCGTACTAGTCAAAGTAAGTTTGAGTTCGTCTTGAAGTGACATTGGTGTTGTTACTGCTGCGTATTATTAATCATCATCACCATCGTGAACGAGGAATGTGAGTTTGCGCAGGAATTGCATAACTTTATTCCTCTCTCTCCCTTCCACTATATATCAGACGCTCGGTCAGTTTCTACACTTTTATCAACATGCCACGCATTCGAACTAAACTATTTACTTTGTCGCATTACGAACGACAGTACAGCAATGGAGTGGAATAAACTGCCAGCGTGTGGTTTTCCATCTCATTTCAATGTGTCTTCAAGAAAAAAATTATCAGGCTTTTGCCAAGCTATATAAATGCGCTTTAGCATCTTTAGCTGCATCAACATTCGAGACCAATTGTGAATGAGATAGTTAAGGTGCTGGCTTTTAAAGGTTAAAAAAGACCTTAGGTTTATGCGTTTGTAGCATTTTCAAATGTTTTTTTAGCTATGTTTCAATTTTTTTTATAAGTATAGGTTTTACTCCAATTAGCCTTGCGTTTTAACAACCACAGACCTAGATTTAAACCTTCAACCGCCTTGTAGATGCTCTCTCTCGTTACCCGACTAGTTCATTTATTTCCGTTAAATATTGTTCATGTTGACACGTCTTCTTTTATCGCAATCACTGACTACTTCTCCGCAGAGATGCTAGACGCTGCGTCGTGATGATGCGTTTGAGCCGCATACCGCAGCATCAAGATACCAAAGCTTAACACGTATTAATTACGCTTCTCTGTAATCCTACCAGTCCAGCGAGATCCCGCAAAATTTTCGAACGAGATTAGTCCCGCGAAATGTCTGCGGGATTTTGGTATATCGGGATCCTGGATACAAGGAGAGAATCTCACGCTGAGTATTCACGACCAAGCTATCCCACTCTTACTGAGCGTGGATGCCCAGGCTGCCCTACGTATTCTGAGGGAGCGCAATTCCGCTCGCGACAAAAATGCTCGGAGCAAGCGGAGCAACAACACCAAAGCGAGCCCTGTCACGCTATCCGTGAATTTTTGCAACATCAGGCGACTTTATTCCAACCTTAATGCTGTCCACTAGAAGCCGAAGACGAAGCTGGTCTTGTTCCCTTTTAACCGAAACAGGTGTCCTCTATAGCTGATATTTCATATCTCTCCTACCCGGGGTACAGATTAGAATATTCCTTTGTGCCCCGGGCTGGAGTTTGCGTATACGTCAGTGAGGACATCTGTTTTTGACGCCTCGGCAATCCTAAAAGTCATGGTCACAGGGGACTTAGATGAATGACGTCCCAATGTCATTGTTAAACCCGAAGTACCTGCAGCTTTTTTAATTATTGTCCATCCTATGGCCACGCGTAGACAGCGACGACCTCTACGGGTGCATCTATAGGTCCCATAGCGGTAATACCGAAACAGATCGACTCCTTGACTACTTCCAAATGGCTACAGATTCCGTGCTACAGCAGAACCCATCCATAGAGATCGTGATCCTCGGCAATTTTAACGCCCACCACGTCGAATGGTTCGGTTCACGTTTAACCGATTATGCGGGGAGATCTTTTTATGACTGTTCTTTGGCATATGGTCTGACACAACTGGTTACTGCACCGACGCGGATTCCAGATGTCGAAGATCAAACATCTTCCCTGTTGGACCTTCTGCTGAATTCTCATCCGGATGGATATCAGGTTTCCGTAGAAGCCCTTTTAGGCTCGTTGGACCATTGTCTTGTCCAGAGTGTGGTGCCAGTCACATTAACGTCGCGTTTGCATTCTGCAGGCTGCCGCTGTGTTTAGCACTATAGGTTTGCCGGCATGATTCCTAAAAAAGGCAATCGCTCAGACTCGTCCAACTACAGGCCTGTCGCCATCACCTCCTTGTTCTTCAAAATATTGGAGTATATTGTAAACTACCAGCTCATGAGGTACCTTGAGGATCACCAGCTGATCAGTGACCGCCAATACGGTTTCCGTCGTGGTCGATCAGCTGGTGATGTTCTGGTCTACCTTATTCATAGTTGGGCGGAGGCAGTAGAGTTCAAGGGGGAGGCATTGGCCGTTAGTTTGGACATAGCGAAGGCCTTCGATAGGGTCTGGCACAAAGCGCTTCTTTTGAAGCTCCCTTCCTATGGGCTTCCCGAGAAATTGTGCGATTGAATCACTAGTTTTCTTGATAATCGGAGCATCAAGGTCGTAGTAGACGTTGCATGCTCTGATTACAAGCCTATAAACGCTGGTGTTCCACAAGGCTGCGTGCTATCACCAACGCGGTTTCTTCTGTATATCAATGATAAGTTGCAAACTAATAACATTCATTATTATGCAGACGACAACACTGGTGATGCCTTATTATTGAATCGTCGACGACCGAGTTTTTTCTGATCGGATCGATTCACTGGCGCTGCGTAGGGATGTTGCATCCTTTTGCGTTTTCTATTGTATCTACCATGAGGAGTGGTCTGAGGAATTGTTCGAATTAGTTCCAGCTGCCAAATTTTACGAACGCACATCGTGTCAAAATTCCCAATACCATCTTCACCATCTGGATGCTTGGCGGTCCACTACTGTACGTTTTACTAGGAGTTTTCTGCCTCGTACAACTTTTCTGTGGAATTGTTTACCAGCGGCGACTTTTCCGGACCGGAATTCGTAATTAGGGATCTTCAAGAAAAGAGTTAACTTCTTTCTGAAAGGCCGGCAACACATCTGCAATTCCTCTGGTGTTGCGATTGTTCGTGGGCGGGGGTTGTGCGATTGCTCATAGTCACTAACCGGTGAGGCGCATGCTCGTTCGCCCTCTCTTCTATAAAAAACCTCTTGCAACTTTAGAGGGCGCAAGTTTGGTCTCACAAGGAGTACTGGTCTCATCTCTGGGCTAGGGCACCCCACTTCCACTTGACCGCATCAAGGGCAGAGCGACTTAATTCACTGGCGCTGCGAAGGGATGCAACATTCCTTCGTGCGTGTCCGTGAATTGACAATCCTTTACCACCGGCGATTTATTCGGACCAATGCGACTTAGGAAGATTCAAGAAAAAAGCTCACTCCTTTTTAAAAGGCCGGCAACGCACTCGCAATTTTTCTGGTGTTGCGGTTGTTCATGGGTCGGTAGTCACTTACCATCAGGTGAGCTACATGCTCGTTTGCCCCCTTGTATAAAAAACGAAGTAAATAGTAATAATGTGATAAAAATTTACTTATATACGAAAGGTAATGCCATCTTTTTGTAAATTTGACGTGGCAGTTCTCTTTTTCAGCAAAGAACTGCAAACAAACGCCGGTTAACTGTGTTGCTTAATGTTGTACACCACAGGTATTTACTTTACTTTTATTATTTCAAACTTTTTGCTGTTGTATACGCTACTCTACTTCTTGCGCATACTTCATCAATAATATGAGACTTCAAGTCTGTCACAGAGAAAACCTAGAGAGTGTGTTTCACTTGAGTTTAGTCTATTCATACGATAATCGGACGAGTAATTTTTTCTTATTTATACGATTGTCATATGATTTATTTATTTTTATTCGTCGGATATATTTTAAATTAAAAAAATATTTATATAAGAAGGTTTTTAACAATTTTAGACAACTGAATAAAATAAAATATGGAAGTAAGTACCTATTCAAACGATAATCGAACGATATTTTATTTATTAATAAGATTATCGTATGATTTATTTATTAATAAGATTCTCGTATGATTTATTTATTTTTAATCGTCCGATATATTTTTAATTTAAAAAATAAATATGTACAAAACATTTTTAATAATTTTACCAACACTATACACTGACATTTGCCAAGAAAACAAATAATAGTGTTTTGTAACAAGATTTTACTGAAAAAATAAAATGTAAGTAAGCTTTGAGTTTACTACTTGTTCTATTGAAAGACGAACTATAGAGTATCTTAGAAACTGTTCTAATAATTGAGTTGTTATTACGTAATGCAAGCTTTTGTTTGCATATTTGTATATAAACATTTAATAATGAATTTTGCGTGTTCCGATCAGGGAAACTAGATAAAAACTAAAAACGATATGTAATCTAAAATAAAATAAAATTAGAAACATTTGCAGTCGCCTCCCAAGCACATGCCGCTGTGGTTGTTCATTTCCTGACACATACGGTTACAAACAGAATTGTTACAGATATTCATTGTCAGGAAGTCACCAAGTACATCTGAAACAAAAACGTAATTATATAAACTTCCATGTCTGTCCTTTTTTGATAGAATAGGATGACTAACGAGCATACAGTCCACCTGATGGTAAGTGGTTGCTTTGGCCCATAGACATCTACATCTATCCTTATACGAATCAAAATGCAGATGCGATTCCAGTAAAAGGGTCTCCGGTTCTCTACACTCACCATACGAAACACAGCAGCATTAAGCTACTATTTCACGCTCGTATTCTGTGAGAGTGTGGTCTTTCCCCGGTCGAGCCGACCCATTCGTGCTACAACTGTACTTCTAATATAACTGCAACGTGGCTCTACCACTGTGAAATATGTCTACAAGAGTAGGTAGAGAACTAGTCTCTGTTAGTTCTTTACAAGTCCATAGGGCAACGCTTTCGCAAACTTTGGAAGAGAATTACGGCTGCCTGCAGACCTAATCACCGTAACATCACCTTTTGCCCCACGCGGTATGACCGATTATGCAAATAACTTGCGGAACAAAATGAATGACATTTATGAGCACGTCAGACAATCGGGACAGCAAGTGTCTGAAAAGATTAAAACCCGGTATGACCGCAAAATGAACAATAAAGGGTTCGACGAAGGTTGACTAGTGTGGTTAAAAACGTATTGATTTTATTGCTCTTAAGTACGTGGCATTGATCATATAATAAGCACTTAAGCAGGCGCTGATTAGGTATTGTATTACATATTTATCATCCATACTAATATAGCGGAAGAGTTTTTTTTTTGTTTACTTAAACACGTTAATATCTGGAACTACCAAAGATTCTGCTTTGGAAAATCCTTTTTGTATTTTATAGGCAGATTTATGAGGAATAGTATAATCTATCTAGCATTAGGCTACACCTCCCAGCTAGCCTTAAATATTGATTTTTGTTTAGCAAGTAAAAAAAGCCCTACCGAATGATTCTGCGTACGCCGGCGTATTGATTAGTGATACGTAAATACAAAGTTACACAAAAATATAGATCTTTAGTCCATCTAAAAATAAAACAATATTTATCGGATCCACTCAGATTACCTTGTAAGTATAAGCGAAAACTTGTCATTATTTTCTATCTTGCTATAACTATCTACCGACCGAGCTGGGAAATTAATATAAACACACACAAACCAAGTTTTCAGAAGGGTTATATAGAGCATTCCATTCCCACATCAGCCGATCTTCTAAGAAAGTTACAACAAAGAGGACATTGCCTTAGGGTAAACGCTTGTGCAATAATATTAATGTCAATTATTATTTATAGTACTTTCTTTTTCTTTTGCTTCCGTCTGCTAAAGGTATAAGGGCCTCTCTCGTCAGGAAGGCTATAATCGCCACTGCTTGGTAAACGGATTGGCGATCACAGCGAGACGAAGACCAACAGACCATCTAGTTGGAAATAACCGGTGTACCCATGCGAGACTGGTGCAGGTCGCTAGTGTTATATGAAGTTAAATATCGCAAGTTTATAAATATATCAATAAAATATTGTAGTTATAAACTTGCACCTGTGCAATTTTAAAACAAAATTAACCTGTGAAAAATATAATAACCCAAGTAAAATTTAAATTAAATAACCGTTACCTTTGAGACTTAATATGATATCACATTTGCATTTGCCATTCACACAGGCCCCACCAGGGAAACCAATGCGGCGACATGACTGGTCACAGTTCAAGGGACTGCAGCTACTGTACTCCTGTAAGCTTTCTTGGTTAAAATCTGAAACAATTTTTATTATAACAGATAAGTTAAGATAATACCTACATTTGGATACTAGTAATGTTTTAAATTAGTATTTTGCTAAATTATTATCTACTGTTATATTACTTGGTCACACAACCGGGAAAAACCTTCCTGTCACAGAATACCAGCGTAAAATAGAAGCATAAAATAGGCTCCTTATCCTCATCCCTCTCATCGTCATAAATATGGGAAACTGCTTAAATATAGAAGTTAGTAATAATATCTATTGGCTACCACAATTCTCAAAATATTGAAATGACTGGCTCTCAATGTCCTTTAGGCTGGGACACATACTGCTGCTTGTGGCAGAAACAGGTAAGAGGATGATCACTGCCCAGGCAGACTTCCAGGCAGAAACAAGTCCTACCACATAGTGAATCATCATCACAGCAACAACACACTCCTAAATTACCTAAATCCATTGACTGCTTGTCTTACCAGATTGCCACCAGTGGGGCTACACTACAATTTAGCTTACCAGAATGAGGCTACCGCTCGAGAATTATGTTTCCCCTTCGATGCTGCCGTGTTTCGTATAGTAAGTGAATAGAAACAGATACTCTTTTTACTGGTATCGAGAAATTCTATTTCAGACCTCAGTCATCTTCTCAGATATCCATGGAACGATATAGGATAGCGGACATTCTTAAAACACCACTAAAGTTGAAAGAATCGAAGACCTTTTTGAGGTCTTCAAGCTATTTCGAGGTTTTTGATTTTGATGCGGTTTGCGGCATTCGAAGCAGTTATTTGAGCTTAACAAAAAAATTTTAATTCGAAATTTTTCAAGTAATTTTGAAAAACACTTTTTCGAGATTTCGTCGATATAACGTCGTTTTTTGATTAGAAGAGCTGATTATATTATAGAATTTATCAAAACGTTTTGGTTTTGAATGTCGACGTAATTAAAAAGGCCACTTTCTAAAAATTAAAAAAAAAACTCAATATTTTGAGTTTTGCTCAGAATCTACAATGGTGATTCGGCCTAATTCACAGAATATCATGTTCAGCGCGGCCGTTTCAGATGCCGCAAACCGCTTTTCAATCGGACACTCCGTCACAAAACTATGAGATGTTTACATACGCAAGCACGCACGCACGTATGCACGCACGCACGCACACACGCACGCACGCACGCACGCACGCACGCATGCACGCACGCATACACACACACACACACACACACATACACACACACACACACACACACACCACACACACACACGCACACACGCACACACACACACACACACACACACACACACGCGCACACACACACACACACACACACACACACACACACACACACACACACACACACACACGCACACACGCACGCACGCACTCACGCACGCACGCACGCACGCACGCACGCACGCACGCACTCATGCACGCGCACAAGCACGCGCACAAGCACGCGCACACGCACGCGCACACACACGCGCACACGCACGCGCACGCGCACGCGCGCACACGCACGCACGCACAAACATACAGACATCATCGCAAAAAATAGCCAGAATAGGTTTCTAGGACCTCGAAACGTGGAGATCTGATGAGAACTCGATTTTCAAATACGGAAATGCATTGACGCCTTAGTGTAAATGGTTGTGCAATAATATTAATTCCAATAAGTAGTAAAGCCCCGCTGCAGCTACATTATGGTTGTAGCACGAATGGGTTGGCTCGACCGGGAAAGGACCACGATCTCACAGAATACCAGCGTAAAATAGCAGCTTAATATTACTGTTTTTCGTATTGTGAGTGTAGAGATCCGGAGACACTGTTTTACTGGAAAGGAACCATTTCATCTTAATCCTCAGGGGTGATAACGCATCTGCGTTTTGATTCTCAATCGAGGATAAATGTAGATGTGTATGGGCCACAGCATCCTCTTAAAATTAGGTGAACTGCATGGTCGTTTATCACTCATATTCTATAAAAAATTACTTATTATAGTACTTTCCTTTTCTTCTTCATCAGCCCTCAAAAGTTACAAGGGTACCCGCAAAGTTCCCTCCAGGATGGCTAGTTTGACAAACGGACTGGCGTTCGCAGTATTATATGCCTCGCACGATCACATGGTGTAAACGAGATGGTTTTACCGGAATCCATGAGATTTATCTGGTAATTTCCACAATTGCTTTTACGTTACTATAATCCATACATGTTATCATAAATTAAACTCCCCCGTCATGTCTGTCTGTATGTGTGTTCGCATTAATATCAGCAACAACTGACAGGATTTTCATTGGGTTTTTGGTTTTTAACAACAGACAGATAGATTTATGCAGAAGGATTACGTATATAAAATCTGAATCTTTTTTGCAAATTAACTGTTATGATGATATTTATCGAAATACCGAGTAAGTCGAAAAAAAAATAGTGCCTACTGAGAGCTCCGATAGCGTAAGGTGCGTATATCGATAAAGTTATTTGCAAATTAAAGTATGGCGTTAATCGACGGATGGCAGGGCTGTGCAGCGTTCGGGAGATTACGAAACATCTTCTCATCAGGCATACCTCAAAACTTCAAAACAAGATTGTGCAACTACTAACTGCGAGCTGCCAGTGAAGATTTATAAACTTGAGAAGTGGTTCTCGATGCTTTTCCAAAAATCTTCAAGTTCCTAAAAACTTCCTTTTATAAAGAAGACCTTATGCCAAAAAGTCTAGAAAGTCACATTTAGGGAAACATAAGACTTATAAATTCAGAAACAAAATTAAATTTTTGGTATGACCTACATAGAGTCAGATTAGCTATTCGATGTTTTTAAATATCCTATTTCTCATGATGAAGTATATCATAAATCTAAGTCATTATTAATTAATAAGTTCTAATAAGATCTGATTACGAAATTTAAATTAAATAACCGTTACCTTTGAGACTTAATATGATATCACATTTGCATTTGCCATTCACACAGGCCCCACCAGGGAAACCAATGCGGCGACATGACTGGTCACAGTTCAAAGGACTGCAGCTACTGTACTCCTGTAAGCTTTCTTGGTTAAAATCTAAAACAAATACAATTAGAAGTAGTTGACCCACCGATTAGTTCCAATTTCATTTCATGATTTACTAGTTTCATGAGTTAACATATTTGAAAAATTAAAAATATTTGGAGAAACTGTGATATACTCATATCCGCTTTTGGGAAACGTCTTCTATATTAATATACTCTACTCTGTTTTGTAATTCTTTAAGAAATCGAAATTCATAATTCATTGTAATTTATCAAAAAATTTATAATCGTAATTTATCATATATATTTTGATTCTCAATGTGATTAGATAAACAAGGAAAAATAATTAACAAAATATTCTGTCAAGTATGATTCCAAAATTTATAATAATGTCCTCCAGAACGAATTTCGGTCACGGCGGCCAGTCTTAACGGAGACTAGCCATCGGCGCAGGACAGGATTATAGTGCCCAAGTGTATGCGCAAGCACAAGTGCACTCTCTATTCCCTCACCCTCATAATCCGATGGGACGGTAAACCGACACGACCGGAGAGAGATCGAGCGCACGACCTACGGCTTTACGTGCTTTCCGAGGCACGGGGGTGAGACACCGCCAACTTCCTTGATTCCGGACAGCTACTGAGAATTTCTTGACGGAAAAACTCAATGATTGATTTTTTGGCCCGACCCGGGATTAGAACCCGCACTACTACAAGCACTAGACCAACGAGGCAGTCAAAAAAATTAAAATTTATAATATTCATGTTAAGGCTATAGGAAAGACAGTAGGGTAATACTCGTACATCTTAGTTTTCTTTTTTTTAAATGGTAGATAGAGTAAAATTTTAATTAAATAACCGTTACCTTTGAGACTTAATATGATATCACATTTGCATTTGCCATTCACACAGGCCCCACCAGGGAAACCAATGCGACGACATGACTGGTCACAGTTCAAAGGGCTTTCTTGATTAAAATCTGAGACAATTTTTATTATTACAGATAAGTGAAGATTATACATTTGGGTTCTAGTAACGTTTTGAATTAATATTGTGAAGAACTAATAATACATTAAAAATGGGAAGAACCACCCTCTCACAGAATACCATCGTAAAATAGGAGCATAATGCTGCCGTGTTTCGTATGGTAAGTGAAGAGAATTAGATACCCTTTTTATCGGTATCGAGTAATTCTATCTCAGTCCTTCAGTCAGTCTCTCACCTTTTAAGACACTGTGTATAGCTTCCCGTTGCCAGTAGGAACATATTCGGGTAAGTATTTTTCGATATGGTATGGATGAAGGAAATACTATCGGAATGATGCCTATATATATTATCCAAAGCTCATTAATTCACAGCATTCCGCCTGTGGCATCGCTCTCGAGCGGTCGCATCCAGGTAGTCCGCGCTTTCGTCCTTGTACGGTAGTGCTCTCTCGCTCTCGCGCCTCCGCTGTCCTGCTCGCGCTGTACAGCGCCGACGCATTGCTCACTCCGCCGGTGGCATCGTTCTCGAACGGTCGCCTCCAGGTGGTTCGCGCTCTCGTACCTGTACGGTAGTGCTATCTCGCTCTCGCGCCTCCGCTGTCTTGCTCACGCTGAACAGCGTCGAGGCTGGTGAGTCACTTTCACGCTAACAGTTCTTGCCCCCCTGTCTTCGGGCAGGGAGGTTTGACTGACCTCCGCTTCTTCAATTTTTTTATTTTTTTTTTAATAATTTTATACGTGTATTGTCTCGCAGCGCGTCTCGTGTCCAAGTCCCTGTTCTACCGAGAACAGGGACCCGTCCCAATCGTTACCGAGCTTAGGTCTACTGCTCCAAAATGGCCACATATAGCCTATCTGAGTCCCGCGCCACCCTCATAAACCAATATGGTTTAATCAACAATGAGACGGTCCTCGCCGCCATCGCCACTATCGCCGCCCAGGCTCCCCCCCTGCCCCTCAGGCACACCAACCGCCGCCCGTAATCGCGACATACTTCGAAACGAGGAACTCTTTTGCCCCCCCCCCCCTAGAGTCTTTTGCCCCCCTAGAGATGGAGTACGCATGCTCCGAGTCCTCTGCGCCGGCCTCCCGGAAGAGGCCCGCCACCACTTCAGGCACCGGCTCATCAGAGTCCTGTGACTCCGACGGAACCGGGAAGTCTACATTCACCACGGTGAATTCCAAGCGCAATGGTAAGCGCGCCGCGTTAAAACGCAACCCCCCTTATCTCATCGGCCCCTGCCGCTCCTACAACCTCCGCAGCCCCCCGCTGCCACCTCTGCCCCCGCAGCCCCCGCCGCTGCCGCCGTCCCACTTATGTCACTAGACATCCCCACACCGTCCAAACCAGCCTCTCGTTGTGCTCCAGTCCTTGCCAAGAAGCAAGTCCCACCCTCTGTCTTCCAAAGAGACAAGGCAAAATTTACCCAACTCTCGAAAACCTGCTACGACGCAGGAATCAAATATGACCATGCCATCAACCTTGGCGAATCTATCAAAATCGTCCCTAACTCAATCGAGGACTTTCGACAACTCACCAGGCTTTTCACAGCCGAACGAGTGTCTTACCACACCTACGCTCTTCCGGAAGAGCGAAAAGTTAGGGCCGTCATCCGAGGCGTCCCCTTTGAATTCACCAACGAGGAAATCCTTGAGGACCTTAAGTCCCAAGGTTTCCCCGTAGAAGCCGTGCACAAAATGCACAGTAAAATGGGCAAGAGGTTCATCCTAGCCCTTGTCATCTTAACCAACGTGCCGGAGGCAAAAGCCATCTTCCGGCAGGTACGCACAGTGTGTGGCCTGTCGAGAGTGAAGGTTGAGTCACCACATAGGCGCGGATTCCCGGCGCAGTGCCACCGCTGCCAACTATATGGTCATGCGGCGGCCAATTGCTCCGCCACACCCAGGTGCGTAAGTGCCTCGAACCCCACAACACCAAAGAGTGTCCCCGGCCCAAAGACGCCGAATCCCCGCTCGCATGTGTCCTGTGCAAACAGACAGGCCACCCGGCTAACTACAGGGGCTGCCCCTGCGCACCTCAATCTCGCCCCAGTAGGCAAGCTCCACCGCCGGTCAATGACCGCTCATTCCCGGCCCTCCACCAACGGCCCCGTCAGGGCCTTTCTCAGCCCATCCAGGGCTTCTCTCGGCCCTCTCAGGGTCCTCCTAGGCCCCCTCAGGGCATAATTCGGCCCCCCTCCGGGCTTCTCCAAGCCTATGGAGCCTCCAGTCTTTCCCTGGGGCCCCAAAAAGGCAGACCCAACCAACCCAACCCAAAGGCAAACCTCCTAGAATCCTAATCCTAGAAACCTAGAATCAGAGCCCACAGCTGATGACTACAAAACACTGTATTCCGCTATTAGGAATATTGACATTAGGGAAATCACTGTAGTAGCACGCAAACTGCGCGCTGCGAAGTCCCCTCAAGAACGTCTCCTCGCTCTTTCAGAGCATCATAATCTTCTGTTAGCGTTGTAAGTTAAGTTAACTTAATTAACTTAACTTCAATGACAGAGCAGTTTGCTCTACCAAAATCTCACGGTCGTATCAAACCTAAGGGTTTATCGCTTGTATCTTTTAATATTCGCGGTTTGCGAAATAACCTCTCAGAGCTTAAGCTCTTTCTTCGGAATAGTGAAGCCGATTTCCTCCTCCTACAGGAAACTAATCTCAAAACTAAACTAAGGCCTTTCTATTAAAAACTTCTCTCTTCTTCGTAACGACAGACCCGACCGCCGAGGCGGCGGAACGGCCATCTATTACAAGAAGACACTACGCTGCTGGCCCTTTTCTACTCCGCAGCTTACCAACATGGAAGCCACGGTATGCAGGCTAGCTGTTGAGTGTAATATTATGTATCCGTAGAAAATAAACAGTATTGTTGTTCCGCCATTACACCTAATAAAATACGCACTATTGAGTTGCTGTACTAGAAATGACATAGCGTTGAGACTTTGAAATAAATGTATGCACCATTGAATAGGTTGTTCACCATGGTTACCATAGTGACAGCAAAAATCAGTAACAGTCCATCGGACTATCCCCAATAGAGGGAAGGAACCTTGCCGCGAATTAGCGCAGTCGAGAAGTACATCGTGTAGTGTACACTAGCCATGACTGGACATCAGTCCATCCTCATAGCCTCCTGTTACATCCCTTCAGGAACCCATTCCCTCAAAAAAGATTTTGAGGCCATTATATCTTTAGGCAATTCAGTCATTATGTTTGGAGATTTTAACTTCAAGCATACTGAATGGACATGCCGTACTACCTCCCCTAGTGGCAAGATACTGCTCGATATCATGCAGTCTCTTGATATTACCATGCACAGTCCCCTCGGTGTTACTCACTTTCCGGATAACACCGATCACGCATCCGATGTACTAGATTTTTCGTTACTCAAAGGAGTTTCTCACAACCTCAGGGCAATCGAGACACTAGACGATCTAGGATCCGATCACCGACCGGTCTACCTCATTCTTGGCCATCAGCCACCTCCACCAACACACTCGAAAACCTTCACTAATTGGAAGGGATTCAAGGAGTCTCTAGATAAAGCTCTGGACTCACAGGACACTACCATCTCCCTATCGTCGGACTTATACAGTCCCGAAAAAATCGACACCGCGGTCGATTCACTCTCCACCCTTATCAAATCCTCCCTTAAGGAGAACGAAAGGGTCGTCCCGGTTGCTAACAATAGTGGGCTTCCCCTACATATTAGCAACCTATTAAAAGCCAAAAAAGCTGCTTTCCGGAGAGCAGCAAAATATCCCACCCCCGAATATAGGCACGCGGCCAATCGTCTTCAACGAGAACTCCGTTTCCGCCTCTCTGACTTAAGCCTAAAAAGGCTGGCATCTCCAACCAAGCCCACTTTCCTGAACAGGTGTTAACCTTTTTATCTATCATCTTCATCGCCTGCTTCAACCTTAGTTACTTTCCCACTACGTGGAAAGAGGCAACTGTGATTGGTATTCCCAAGCCAGGGAAGCCTCTCAACCTCCCCTCCAGTCATCGCCCCATTAGCCTCCTCAAGGTAATGGGCAAGCTCTTCGAAAGAGTCATCCAAACTCGTATGAGGCGCTATCTGTTTCCCACAGACGGTGACCCTCTTATCATTCCCCATCAATTCGGTTTCCGAGCGCAACACTCATATACCCAACAAGTTCACCGTATTGTGGAATATATCCTTAGCGGTTTTTATCCTCGTCGTCAAAAGACCATCGCGGTTTTTTTCGACATAGCTAAAGCCTTCGATAGAGTCTGGCATACAGGCCTTATCTACAAACTGTACAAAATAGGTCTCCTCGATCGTCTAGTATGTCTCGTGGCCTCTTACTTAAAGCATCGTACTTTTCGTTTTAGACACGACGGCACGCTATCTTCACAGCGAACTATCAAAGCTGGTGTCCCTCAGGGCTCAGTACTTGCTCCTCTGCTGTACATCCTGTTCACCAACGACATTCCCATCCCGTCGAAAGGTGTTCAGCTCTCCCTCTTCGCAGACGACACTGCTATATACTGCAAAGGTATCTCACTACCTTTCATACGGAACAAGATTCAAAAGTCAGTTGACGACCTAGGAACTTGGTTCAAAAAATAGCGCATCGATGTGAACCCGGAGAAGAGCTCCGTCGTTCACTTTTTTTTTTTTTTTTTTTTTTTTTTTTTTTTTATAGAATAGGGTGACAAACGAGCACACAGTCCACCTGATGGTAAGTGGTTGCTGCGGCCCATAGACATCTACATCTATCCTCCATTAAAAATCAAAATGCAGATGCGTTGGCACCCGTGAGGACTGAGATGGAATGCCTCGTTTCCAGTAAAAAGGGTCTCCGGTTCTCTACACTCACCATACGAAATACAGCAGCATTAAGCTACTATTTCACGCTGGTATTCTGTGAGAGCGTGGTCCTTCCCCGGTCGAGCCGACCCATTCGTGCTACAACTATACTACTAATATAACTGCAGCATGGCTTATAAACGACGCCGTCTCAAAAACACTCCACCAATACGTATGCTAGGAACCCCTGTCCCCTGGCATACTACTGCCAAATATTTAGGTGTCACTCTAGACACAGGGCTCACTTTCAAGCCCCACGTCAAAAGAGTAACCCGTCACGCACGTTTTTATCTGAGTAGGCTCAACAGCATGTTGGGCCGACACAGTAAAATGTCCCTTAGAAACAAGCGTACCCTTTATAAGGTCTGTATACGACCAGTCATGTCCTACGCGGGCCCCGTTTTTGCCCACGCCGACCCTAAAATTATTAATGAACTCTAAATAGTTCAAAACCTTTTCTGCCGTCGAGCTGCGAACGCACCTTGGTACGTCCGTAATGCCGACCTTCATCGGGACCTAGAGCTCCCCACAATTCAACAATTTCTCCAAAAACTCTCTGAGAACTTCTTCAAAGCCTCAGAGTTGCACTCAAACTATTTAATTCGTGAGGCAGCTACTTATGCATTCCCACCCCCCTCTCGCTATCGAATCCGCAGGCCGAGAAACTCTCTGTCGGACCCGCCTAATAAACTAACAAACGACCTGAACTGCCTCCTGACGGCCCAGGCCAACTCTAATTAAATTAAATTATTACTCATAATTAATTTGCCTTCGTAGGCACTCCCTCAGCGGCTCGTAGCCGATAAAGCTTAATCAGCCGGTTGCCTGTCCCCAAAGGCGGTTTTTAGAGGGTATCACTTAGGGTCCCCGGTAGGATGTGAGTCCCTTATAACCACGATAGACCGGCTATCGTGGTATGCGTAATGCATTTTCCGCCTCCCTACGTATAGGGTAGCCCTTTAATTGCTTCGGGCGCAAAAAAAAAAAATAATATGAGCAAACACTAATGATTTTATTAATGGTTTTTGTTTAGTTCTTAGAAGACTTCAGTAAAATCAAAGATATTCTTATTACCATCGGATGGAGGGTGGTTTGATGTTTTAATAACCCTTTCCTCTGACATATTTTTAAGCAAAAAAGAACCCGTATCAGTTATCTTTCTGCATTAAAACAAATTTGAAAAATAAGATTTTTTTACGATTTAAAAAAAAAGTGAAGTATTTTCCGTAATATGAAGTATGTCAAAAATCATAAATAATTAGTAGTATAACCCCCTGTAAGGATATAATGCGCAATTGTGCGATTCCAGGGTTATATTGATTTTTTGTATTTGCTCCATACATTTATTTCATTTTTTCGTAAAAAAAATTATAATTTCTCAGTTTTTAAGCCAAATTACCTCGAAATTTTAAAGGTCTGTGTTTTCGAAATGTGATTTTCGATCCAGTGCGCCTCTGCAAACGGCAAGAATATCAGCGAGGCAAAAACCCACAGACCATCTAGTTGGAGATAACGATGTTCCCATGTGAAGCTGGGGCCGGTTTGCTAGATTTATATGAAATGAAATACTATTGCAAGTTCACAGATATATTAATAAAATATTATATCCTATACCTATATATATATATATATATATATATATATATATATATATATATATATATATATATATATATATATATATAATCGGAATCTTGGAATCGGCTCCAACGATCCCTGAACACTAAATTTTATGAAAAATTTTCATAAAATTTAGTGTTCAGGGATTTTCGGGGGCAATAAATCGATCTAGCTAGGATTTATTTTAAGAAAATGTCCTTTTGTTCGTGTTTTAGGCAATAAAAAAAACTGCTACAATATAAGAAGGTAAATTTTGATAGATCACTAACGATTGTAATAGCTCAGGTGGGATGTCGGTCGGGCGTGATATCGGAGTTCCGTGGTTCGCGTCCTGTCTCTGGTCCAGCTTTTTTCCTTTTTTTTTTCAAGTTCCCTTCTTTTGTGAGAAAATCTATTATTTCAAGCCCTTTTTTAGTATTTTTTAAAAATACGAAAATTTTAATAAAACTAATTGCACTCATGATTTTCTATTCAAATAATCAGTTCAGTTTTTTCTATTCTGTCAATAAGATCAAAAAATATTATTTATGTTTCATCAGTATGTAATTTACCAAAAAAAACCGAGCAAAGCTCGGTCATCCGGGTACTATATCATATACTTGCAACTGTACAATTCTAAAACAAAACTAACCTGTTAAAAATATAATAACCCGAGTAAAATTTAAATTAAATAACCGTTACCTTTGAGACTTAATATGATATCACATTTGCATTTGCCATTCACACAGGCCCCACCAGGGAAACCAATGCGGCGACATGACTGGTCACAGTTCAAAGGACTGCAGCTACTGTACGTACTCTTGGTTAAAATCTAAAACAAATACAATTAGAAGTAGTTGACCCACCGATTAGTTCCAATTTCATTTCATGATTTACTAGTTTCATGAGTTAACATATTTGAAAAATTAAAAATATTTGGAGAAACTTTGATATACTCATATCCGCTTTTGGGAAACGTCTTCTATACTAATATACTCTACTCTGTTCTGTAATTCTTTAATAAATCGAAATTCATAATTCATCGTAATTTATCAAAAAATTTATAATCGTAATTTATCATATATATTTTGAATCTCAATGTGATCAGATAAACAAGGAAAAGAATCTAACAAAATATTCTGTCAAGTATGATTCCAAAATTTATAATAATGTCCTCCAGACCGAATTTCGGTCACGGCGGCCAGTCTTAATGGAGACTAGCCATCGGCGCAGGACGGGATTATAGTGCCCAAATTTATGCGCAAGCACAAGTGCACCCTCTATTCCCTCGCTTCGTGTTGTCGTCTGCATGGACTGTAGTGTCCTGCAGGTCTCGGGCCTCGGGGTGTGCCCCCATTGCCCGGACTTTCCTCATGGCCCACCACTATGGGCCAGCCCTAGGAGCCTTTAACAGGCTAGGTGATCCAGTACGGATGTTCCGTAGTAATAAAAAGTTTTTTCCCGTAGTCGGTTAACTACGGAAAAAAGGGAGGTTGTCCAGTAAAAGTTGAAGTTGGCCTATCAGCGGCATTGAGGGTTGTTACTCGACTCTCTAATCGCTATAGAGAGGAGTTCTCTTGGAAAAGGTCGCCCGTCCGGGGGCCGGGTGTGCAACGGCGCGAAGCCATTGAGGTGTTCATGTGGCCCGTCGTCGGCGCGGTCGAAAATGCCGCGCGCCCAGCCGGGCCACGAAGTCGGTGATGGACTCGACTTTCAGATCGGCCGCTATTACGTCATTCCGGACGTAGCGACCTGCTCCGACGATCGTCCTTAATGTTAGATTCTGCTGGGCGAATGAGCGTCGCCCGCGCACATCGGGCTCTGCGGACGACGAAGTCGACGTGCGCGGTCGCCCTGACGATCCTGCACCCAAGGTAGGTTACGGCCTTCTGGTACGCGATCTTCTGGCACGCGATCTTCTGGCAATTGAGGATCAGCACAGGTGGAAATTTCCTGAGACGGCGAGTGAGCAGAACGTTGACGACCATCCTCCACTCGTCCAGCTATGGAGGCAACAGGTCCAGCAGACGCTGCATCACGGCAGTGGCTATGTGGGCTCTTCTGGACGAGGTGAAATAGGCGCTATCGTCCGCCTATAGCGCCAGCTCAACGTCGTCCTCACACTCTTGGAGCCTGCCCGCCAGTGTTGGGATGTCGTTAGGACAAGCCGCGTACAGGACTGGAGACAAACAGCTGCCCTGTGGAACGCCGGCTCTGATGGATCTGGCTGCGGACTCGGCGACCTCTACGCAGACGTAGAACTTCCTGTCTTCCAGGAAAGACGCCACTAGCCGCAACATAGCAAGAGGGACACTGGTCTGTTCGTACAGCTTATAAAGCAATCCTGAGTGCCACACCCTGTCGAACGCCTTCTCAATGTCGAGAAAGACGCCCAACGATATGCGGCCACGATTGTACTCTGCCGCAAGCAGGTGCAGCACTCTAGTCAACTGTGTGACTGTAGAGTGACCCCTCCTGAATCCGTGCTGCTCCGCCCGAAGTTGGATGCACGGACGGAGACGTCTTAGCAGCAATCTTTCTAGCAGTTTAGCTACATTGTGCGGTAATCGCGTGCTCGGCCTGTAGCTGGCAGCTCTACGCCTGTCCTTCCCGGGTTTCGGCAAGACGATGACTTTGCCTTTCTTCCAGTCCTCCGGGAAGTGGGATGTCCGCAATATCCCATTGTAGAGTCGACCAAGCTCTACTAGGACTCTATTGGGCAGCTGTCGGAGTGCAGAGTTGGTAATCCCATCGTGCCCCGGTACCTTCCTCGGTTGCAGGCGGGTTACTATCCTCCGCAGTTCAGCGGGGGAGATGAACCACTCTCCTGCAAGAGGCGGCGCGGGCGACGACAGGAACTCCTGTACGCGACTTTCCTTCCGGGCATGAAGCTCCATGAACTCCGCACTTGCTGGGTTCAGCATAAATTGCTCCTCGAATTGCTCGACTAGGATATCCGCTCTGCCCTTGGCATTGTAGCAGCGTTCACTCGCGCTGTTGGTCAGCGGGCAAACGGGAGGTCTGGTTTTGGTCAATTGTCGGTTCAGTTTATAGAGCGACGCATCATGCTCATCCGCCTTCCAGATGCGCCGATCCCAGGCCTCTCCTCTGAAGGCCTGGACTGCAACCGACAGTTCCTCCGATAAGGTGTTGAACTGCTTTTTTAATCTGGGGCAGCGAGTACGCGCCCAGAGCTTCCTCAACGCTCTCTTGCGCCTGATCTGCACGCATATCTCTCGCGGCAGATCGTCTCGCCTTGCAGAAATCGGGACGATCGTAGAGGCCGCGTGGTGGGCCTCTTGTATGTTCTTGGTAATTCTACTAGCAGCGGCCTCTACTGCAGATGTTGGCAATAGAGCCTCCAGTCGATACGTGTCTTGAATGCTGTCATTCACCACACTCTATTCCCTCACCCTCATAATTCGATGGGACGGTAAACCGACACGACCGGAAAGAGATCGGGCGCAGGACCTACAGCTTTGCGTGCTTTCCGAAGCACGTGGTGAGACACCGCCAACTTCCTTGACTCCGGGCAGCTACTGAGAATTTCTTGACGGAAAAACTCAATGACTGATTTTTTGCCCGACCCGGGATTAGAAGCCGCACTACTACAAGCACTAGTCCAACGAGGCAGTCAAAAAAATTAAAATTTATAATATTCAGGTTAAGGCTATAGGAAAGACAGTAGGGTTATACTCGTACATCTTAGGTTTCTTTTTTTAAAATGGTAGATAGAGTAAAATTTAAGTTAAATAACCGTTACCTTTGAGACTTAATATGATATCACATTTGCATTTGCCATTCACACAGGCCCCACCAGGGAAACCAATGCGGCGACATGACTGGTCACAGTTCAAAGGACTGCAGCTACTGTACTCTTGTGTTAAGCTTTCTTGATTAAAATCTGAGACAATTTTTATTATTACAGATAAGTGAAGATTATACATTTCGGTTCTAGTAACGTTTTGAATTAATATTGTGAAGAACTAATAATAAATTAAAATTGGGAAGAACCACCCTCTCACAGAATACCATCGTAAAATAGGAGCATAATGCTGCCGTGTTTCGTATGGTAAGTGAAGAGAACTAGATACCCTTTTTATCGGTATCGAGTAATTCTATCTCAGTCCTTCAGTCAGTCTCTCACCTTTTAAGACACTGTGTATAGCTTCCCGTTGCCAGTAGGAACATAAACATAAACATAACATAAACACTCACGCCTGTCACCCAGAGGGGTAGGCAAAGACTACAGACTTCCATTTGGCACGATCCTGACACACCTCTCTCGCCTCCTTCACATCCATTTATCTACGCATGCATGCTCGTCGGTTAAGGGTACTCCTAATTTGGCCCGTTTTTAATAAATCGCCAATTTGGTCGATAAATTTTCGCCTAGGACGTCCCTTTCCGACTCTGCCATTCACTTCTGCAACATAAATTTTCTTTGTCACTCTTTCCTCATCCATTCTTTCCACATGACCAAACCACCGAAGCATTCCTTTCTTAATCCTGGTCACAACATCATCTTGCAAACCACACTCTTCTCTTATCACACAATTCTTCACCCTGTCATTCAGATTCAGCCCTAACATACTCCTTAACGACCGCATTTCTACTGCATTTATTCTACTCTCGTGCTTCTTCTGCCACACCCAACTTTCACTACCATACGTTAAAGTAGGGACCAACACAGCATTGTGAATTGCCATACGTGCCTTTTTTGACAAATTTTGATTTTTGATTCACAATAGAGTGCAGGGCCCCATTTACTCTGTTTCCTGCGTTCACTCGTCGTTCTATATCCTTATCATATCTCCCATCCCTGCTAAATACGCAACCCAAATATACAAACTCATCTACTTGCTCGATCAACTCCCCATCTATTCTTATTTCACATATCGTTTTACTTTCATCTCTTTCAAAAACCATAATTTTCGTCTTACTTGCGTTCACTTTCATACCCCTTTCTTTTAATGATCTGTTCATTATTGTAACCATCATTTGCAACTCAGCCGCCGACGACGCAAGAATAACTTGATCATCAGCGTACAAAAGGCATTTGATGGTTAACTCACCCATTCTTAATCCGCATTCTTCAACTTTCAAATTTTGCAAACAACTGTCCATAAATAGGTTGAACAACCACGGGGAAGCCACACAGCCCTGTCTGACACCTTTATGGATGCCAAACCAGTCGGAGTAGACCCCGTTGATCCTAACACAAGCACTAGAGTCCCTATAAAGAGATTCCAATGCCTGTATCAAGCCAGTGCTCAACCCAAATGAGTTCAGTGTTTGCCATAGCACATTCCTATCCACTCTGTCATAGGCCTTCTCCAAGTCCATGAACGCACAAAAAACCTTTTGGTTTTTGGCCAAAAACTACTCCGCGATAATGCGCATGGAGAAGACTTGATCTGTACATCCCATTCCCTTTCTAAATCCCGCTTGCACATCCCAAATTTTTCCATCGGTTTCTTTCATGACCCTTTCAATTAGTACCTTGGCATACAATTTTCCCACGATGCTAAGAAGGCTGATACCGCGGTAGTTTTTACAGTCCTGCTGCGACCCTTTTCCCTTATATACTGGGACTATCACGGCTTTGCACCAGTCTCCCGGTACCCACTTCAGTTCCCAGCATACATTAAACAAGGTGTGCAGCAGGCCTGCCACCACTTCCTCTCCAGCCCTTAGCATTTCGAGTGAAACTCTATCATAACCAGCAGCCTTACCTGCTTTCATGCTTTTCATTGCTTTCATTATTTCATCTATACTTATCTCGCTACCTCCTTCCTCTTCTTTCGGAGTTCCTATTTCATTCAGTTCATACGTTGTCTCCTCACTCATAAACATGCTTTCAAAATATTCCTTCCATCTCTTTAAACTCAAAACTTCATCATTCAGAATATAGCCATTCTCATCTCTTATAGCATTCATTATAGGCTGTTTTGAACATACTCGGGTAAGTATTTTTGGATATGGTATGCATGAAGGAAATGCACCAAGAGATGGACCCCTCAGAAGAATGTACGAATCTCGGCTTGAACCATTATCGGAATGATACCTATATATATTTTTAAAGCTGTTATATAATTAAGTATGTATACTCTTTATATAAATGTAAACCTATTCATATTTATCAGAGGGACATGTTGGTATAACTAGCGCGTTGCAGCCGCGGAAGAAGTAGTTGTAGAAATATCGTTTTAAATTTTCAATTATTATATTAGTAAATTAGGAATATTAATACATTCATTGAAGTTGAATGGCATATTATAACTTTCAAATAAATTTGTCACGCGCGCCACTTACATACTATAAATTAATTGTACTATACGGAAATTAATTGAAAATCCAGCACGGAACCAAAAACGGGGAAAAAAAAAAAAAAAAAAAAAAAAACAAAAAAAATGGAAAAAAAAATATCTACTTTTATTTACGACCAAATTGCGATATATTAAAAACGGGTCAAAAATATATTAAAAACGGTAAGGTTAATTCGGTTAACCGAAGAGCATGTATGCGTAGGTATATGAATATGGAGGAGGCGAGAGAGGTGGGTCAGGATCGTGCCAAATGGAAGTCTGTAGTCTCTGCCTACCCCTCTGGGTGACAGGTGAGAGTGTTTATGTTTACTATACCCAAAACCATCGTGCAAGGTAAAAATTTACAAAGTTTTACCGCAATCTAACGAACGGTATGGCAGCGTATAATATATGAACAAACAAACACTGATATTTAAATATCAGATAAGATAAATAAGTAGTATATAAATATACTTACCATAGCCATATGATGATGATGCGTTTATTGACAATACAGCATATAAAATTCGGTAAAAAGTATTCATTTCAGTTACTGAAACTTTGTTAACACATACACCGTAAAATAAACGAAATAAACTGCAATTGTAACGCAGTCTCAGCTCTTTATATCAAGGAGATAAGGAGCCGGGAATATACCGGCCAAAAAAGAACCGCATGAATCACGCAAACTCCTGTTAGTTAAAGTAATCGTAGCTTTGTTGTATGAGAGAATATGCGGATATATTTGAGGAAAGTTGAAAGCAAACCTTTAATTATCTACCTATATTGTACTCGTATATTAAAAAAATGACTTTCAATTAGTATTTCTACAGTTTAAAGGCCTTAACTTAAACTGTGGTACTACGTAGTAATCCATAACCTAATAATTTAAATTAAACATAAAATTGTACCTAAAATTTAAATTTTAAAAAGCAATAATTTAAATCAGTTCAGCCGTTTCCAAGAAATCCACGAACATTCATAAAAAAAAACAAGCGCGCTCAATATATAACCTTCATTTTTTAAAACTAGGCTAATAAGTAGGTATGTAGTTTTCCTTATAAGTTTCTCTGTATTATAAACTTAGAAATAAGGGTATTCGCAGTAGAACCAGAATGACCGACACAGCCCAACGGATTATTAAGCTGAAGTGGCAATGGGCTGGCCGAATAGCTCGAAGAACCGACAATCGATGGGGGAAAAAGGTTCTTGAATGGCAGCTACGTACCGGTAGGCGAAGTGTAGGGCGACACCTCACTAGATAGAGTGACGAACTCGTAAGACATGCAGGAGTCGATGGATGCAGGTGGCTCAGGACTTTCCTTAGTGGCATTCCCTGTGGGAGGCTTATGTTCAGCAGTGGACTTGTGAAAGGCCGTAATGATGAATGATCATGATATCATAATTAAATTAAAACTATCCTTAATATATAAAATTCGATCCTGCATAATATTTGGAGGCGAACTGTGCATTAGATGCAGTCAGCACTCTTACTTAATATTTTTAGCTTTTAGGATCTAGTACTTTCGGGTGTAAGTACTCCGTTGTTGATTACTATGCTACCCGATATTAAGTGATTGTTTGGAAAAAGATAGTAAGCGCATATGAGGGCCTTAAATGCTGCGCATTATTTTATACTTCTCTCATTTATATATATATTATCGCTATATAAAAATTACGTGTCACATTGTTTGTCCGCGATGAGCTCGGAAACCACTCAACCGAATTCAATGAAATGTCCCCCAATATTTATTACTGCGAATTTAAAGATTTTTAAAGGACAAAGGTTCATCGGTAAGGGCGGAAAGAAGTCTGCCTAGCTAGTTAGTTTTATATAAGTATATATTCTTCTATTATCTTTCTTTTATTTCTCTTCACATTATAGTTATATATATTATATACAGAAGTATATATATATATATATATATATATATATATATATATATATATAATTGGAATTCCAGAAACAAATATATCTGGAATATTCCAGATCTACTGCAACTTTGACAGCGCTCTCCTTGACTCATCTGGGTGTTTTAAGTCTTTTGTAAATGGAGAGGATACACCGACATTTATTAATATATTCATTTACTTTTTTGACAATATATTATACATGAGATATATTATATATTAGCCATGAGAGATTTTTAATAGGATAAGGTGACAAACGAGCACAGAGTCCACCTGATGGTAAGTGGTTGCTGTGGTCCATAGACACCTACCTACATGTATACTCGATTACGAATCAAAATGCAGATGCGTTGTCACCTGTAAGGGCTAAGATGGAATGCATTTCCAGTAAAAAATTACACTCACCATAAGAAACACAGCAGCATTTAGCTTCTATTTTACGCTGGTATCCTGTGAGAGCGTGGTCCTTCCCCGGTCGAGCCGACCCATTCGTGCTACAACTATACTACTATTATAACTGCAGTATGGCTCTACCACGTACCACGTATAAATTATATATTTCTTGCATTACCTATAGTCATACAAAATAAGAGTACTGGTTTTCTTACGCCGTCGGTCCCCACAATAACACAAAGGCATATAACTATTTCGTTAAACAGGCTTAAATAAAAAAATTATTATTAACATTATTCTTTTTACGAAAGCATTCTTGAAAAATATATAATCTTGACATTTATTTCAATTGAGCACTTTACAACACACTACTATTACTACACACTTTGCATCACTTTACAGGTACTTATTTATAATTACCTGTAAAGTGCTGCGAAATACCGACCATAGAATTCTATAATACTTGTTATATGTATTCTATGATACCGACAGCGATGCTTAAATGTGTCATCGTGACCGGGTAAGTACCGGGGTTTAAATACCTATCACACTTCGCTACGTTGCTTGGTTGAAGTTAAAAATAAGGGAAACAATGCATGACATATCTTACGGATGGAAACAATATTTTTCCAGCCTTCATATATTAAATTTACCATTTTATTTATGTATACGACCGGTACGTGATCAATGTCATCTATCCCATGTGGTAAGCAACGGCAGACAACAGTATATTAGTGGCCATAATCTTCAACGCCTGCTTCGAATTCAGCTACTTTCCCACCTCTTGGAAAGAGGCAACTGTCATTGGCATTTCCAAGTTAGGCAAACCTCACCACCTCCCCTCCAATCACCGTCCCATCAGCCCCCTCAAGGCCATGGGCAAACTCTTCGAACGAGTTATTCTCGTGCGCATGAGGCGCCATTTGTTTCCCACAGACGGCGACCCTCTTGTCATCCCTCAACTATTCGGGTTTCGAGCCAAACACTCGTGCCCCCAGCAAGTTCACCGTATAGTGGAACATATCCTCAGCGGTTTTTATCCATCCGTCAAAAGACCATCGCGGTCTTTTTCGACATTGCCAAGGCATTCGACAGAGTCTGGCATGAGGGTCTTATTTACAAATTGTACGACTTAGGCCTCCCTGACCGTCTCGCCCGCCTTGTAGCCTCCTATTTGAAGGATCGTACCTTTCGTTTTAGACACGAAGGCACGCTATCCTCTACTCGTCAAATCAAAGCCGGTGTCCCTCAAGGCTCTGTGCTTTCCCCCCTCCTATATATACTATTCACCAACGACATCCCTATCCCGTCGAACGGTGTTAAAACAGCCCTCTTCGCAGATGACACATCCCTTTACTCTAAAGGCAACTCACTGCCACATATTCGAAACAAGATACAAAAGTTACTCAACGACTTAGGAGCTAGGTTCCAAAAATGGCGTAAACCCGGAGAAGACGACGCCATCTCACCGCCACTCCACCAATCAGGATGTTAGGAACCCCTGTCCCATGGCAAACAAAAGCCAAATATTTAAGCGTCACCCTTGATGCAAGGCTCACTTTTGAGACCCATATCAAGAAGATAACTCGCAACGCGCGATTTTACATGAGTAGGCTCAATAGCATGTTGGGCAGACACAGTAAAATGTCCCTCCGCAACAAGCTAACCCTATATAAGGTCTGCATACGACCTGTCATGACCTACGCGGCCCCCATTTTCGAAATAGTTCAAAATCTATTCTGTCGTAGGGCCACCTAACTCGCCCTATTATGTCCGTAATGCCGACCTACACCGAGACTTAGAGCTCCCAACAATCCAACAGTTCCTTAAATCACTCTCTGAGAGATTTTTCAAAGCCTCAGAGTCCCACCCAAATCATCTCATTCGTGAGACAGCTACCTATGCAACCCCTCTCCACAATAGCTATAGTGTGGGCAGACCGAGAAACTCTCTCTCGGACCACCCCAACAAGCTTTCGGCTGACCTGAACTGCCTCCTGGCGGCTTAGGCCGAGCCTACCTAAAACATCCCTTAATCTGCCTTAGTTAGGCAGACTTCTAAGCGGCTATTCGCCGCTTGCGCCCTCCTTTCTGCCAAGGAGGATCGCGTCCGTATATAACTTAGAGATCTCTCGTCAGATCGGTAAGCCAATCCATAAAGGTGGGTTTAGTGGGTAAAAGTCTCCACATAACCACGCAGCCGGCTGCGTGTTATGCTATGAGCATTCCCCACCTTCCTCCCCCGCTTTCCGGAGGGTTGTCCATATTTGCTTCGGGCGCAAAAGAAAAAAATCTTACGGATGGAAACAATATTTATCCAGCCTTCATATAGTAAATTTACTATTTTATTTATGTATACGACCGGTACGTGATCAATGTCATCTGTCCCATGTGGTAAGCAACAGCAGACAACAGTTTATTAATGGACACGAGTTTATTATATTTTATCGTAACAATCACGATTTTCGTCAATCGGTGTACAAAAACGTCTCTTACCTTTCTTTCTCATCTTGTTGGTATATTTGTGATAATATTGCTTTCTTTTGGAGGACATGAGATTTTTTACTTATTATAAGCTAGTGCTTGACTAAAGTCGCACTTGATGGTAAGTGGTATCAAATCCCTAGACACCATTAATCGAACTCATCTTATTTATATTATTCTAATGTAACCAGTGCCAGATTGACCACGTAACAAGAGTAGCAATTGCTACGGGCTCCGCCTATCCAAGCACCCCATCATCGCCTAAGCGTACTTTTTTAAGTAAAACTTATTAAGACGGTGTATTCAATTTACTTGATGTCACATTAACCTGAAACGTTGCAAATGACAATCGGTAAGCGATTGTTTCTTTGACGAAAATGAAAAAGAATTTCATGCAGTAAACGCACAAGTTTCAACGACCAATGCACCGAATGGCTCGGTCCTCATACTAGTAATCATGCTGGAAAATCTGTTTACCCGTCCAACTACGGGCCTATAGCTATCTCCTCCTTGTTCTCCAAAAATGGAATCTATTATTAACTGCAAGTTTAAGAGCATCAGTTTTTTTTTTGCGCACGAAGCAATTGGAAAGCTAGCCTTTATGTAGGGAGGCGGAAAATGCATTACGCATACCACGATAGCCGGTCTATCGTGGTTACAAGGGACTCACTGCCTACCGGGGGAACCTAAGTGATACCCTCTAAAAACCGCCTATGGGGAATAGCAACTGGCTGTTTTAGCTTCTTATGCCGTATCGG